AACTCCTGACCTCGTGATCCACCCATCTTGGCCTCCCAAAGTGCTGGGATTACAGGCATGAGCCACAGTGCCCCGCCTCCCCTATATATGTTTAATAGATTAAAAATTTATGCCGCTGGGCCCGGTGGCTCACGCGAGTAATCCCAGCACTTTGAGAGACCGAGGCGGTCGGATCACGAGGTCAAGATTTCGAGACCAGCCAGGCCAACAAGGTGAAACCCCGTCTCTACTAAAAATGCAAAAAATTAGCCGGGCATGGTGGCGGGCGCCTGTAGTCCCAGCTACTTGGGAGGCTGAGGCAGGAGAATGGCGTGAACCCGGGAGGCGGAGCTTGCAGTGAGCCGAGATCGTGCTACTGCAGTCCAGCCTGGGCGACTGAGCAAGACTCCGTCTCAATAAAATAAATAAATAAATACATAAATAAGCCAGGCGCTGTGCCCGGTGCCTGTAATCCCAGCTACTTGGGTGGCTGAAGCAGGATAATTGTTTGAACCCGGGGGCGGAGGTTGCAGTGATCTGAGACTGTGCCACTGCACTCCAGCCTGGGCAACAGAGTGAGATTCAATCTCAAAACAACAACAACAACAACAAACAACGACAACAAAAAAGTTATCTTCTTGTGTCTAATTAAAAGATTTTCACATATGGTTTAAGGAAATAATTGATCTTTATTTTATCAGTATGGATATTCAGTTTTTAACACAATTTTTTGAAAAGATTGTCTTCTGTTGTGTGCTCATGTCAATTTTGTGGGAGATTATTTGGCCATGTACAGAAGAGTTCATTTCTGGGCTCTACTCTCTTCTTTCATCTGTTTATCTGTCTTTGTGTGAGTACCACATTGTTTTTGTTCTTGTTGCTTTTAATATGTTTCAAAATCAGAAGTTATAATGCCTCTTTGTATTTTTCGGTGGGTGGTTGGCTATAGTTCATAATAAAATTTTAACATCTCAAACAATATTTCTTTAAAAAACTACTATTGGGAGTTTTATAAAGATTATATTGAATTTGTCTACCACTGTAGGTTGTATTGACATTTTTGAAACATTAAATTTTTTTATTCCTGAGCAAAAATATGTTGAAGAGTGTTTTATTTTAATGTATTTTTGGATTTTTCCATTTTAATCTCCAGTTTAATATAGTTTTCATCAGAAAACACAAAGTGGATAATACTGATCTTCTTAAATTTATTTGTTTTTTTGTGTGTGTTTGTTGTTTTTGTTTGATGACAGGATCTTACTCTGTCACCCAGGCTGGAGTGTATTGGCATAATCTTGACTCACAGCAGCCTCAACCTACTGGGCTCAAGTTATCTTTCCACCTAAGCCTCTCAAGTAGTTGGGACTACAAAGTACCACGTCTAAATAATTATTTGATTATTTTGTAGGGATAGGGTCTCACTGTGTTGCCCACGCTGGCCAGAAACTTTTAGCTCTAAGTGATCCTCACACATTGGTCTCTCTAAGTGTTGGGATTATGGGCATAAGCTACACCACCCACCTGACATTCTTAAATTTAATAAAACTTAGTGTGTATCATAACAGAATACACCAGGTGCAAATAAGAATATTGTGTATTCCCTTGCTTTTGACTGAAAAGTTTTGTACGTGTCTGTTAAACCTAGTTGGTCTACAATATGGTTTTGATGTTGATGTTACCCAAACCTTATGCTACAATTAATTCTAAATGTTAGATGTCGGACCTGGTAGGAGGTGTTTGGGTCATGGGGCAAAGTCTTTATGAATAGTTTGGCACCATCCTCTTGGTAATCAAAATGTGTATGCTTTATTAATTCAAATGAAAGCTGGTTTATTAGAAGAACGTGGCTCCTTCACCTCATACTTGCTCTGTCTGTTATCATGTGGTACGTACAATTAATCTTCACCTTCCACCATGATTGTAAGCTTGCTGACACTCTCACCAGAAGCAGATGCTGGCACACACTTTTTATACAATCTGCTGAATTGTGAGCCAAATAAACTTGCTTTTTTATAAATTATCCACTCTCAGGTATTCCTCTATATGCAGAATAATAAATACAGTGTATAGTGTTGTCTAGGTTTTCTGTTTTCTTATTCCTTTTTATATGAATCTTCTATTTATTATTGAAAATGGGATCTTGGTGTCTACAATTACCATTTTCATTCTGTTTTAAATATTCTATGGAAGATCTTTCAGGGTTTTAAGCATCATCATTATGATAGTAAATATTTCTGTATTTGTATATTTACATTTAATAGAGAGTTTTATTTTATATATGATTTTATGATACTGTCCAGTAGTTTTTTTTTTAAACAAAACTGACTCATGTTAGCATTTCTTATTGTTATATGCAGAGTCTCACGTTACTCAGGCTGATCTGAAACTCCTGGTTTCTAGTGTTCTAACAGACTTGCCTCCTCAAACTGTAGGATTACAGGCATGAGCCCACGGAGCCTGGACACCATGTAGCACTTTTTTGTAGAACTGTGCTAGTGGTGATGAACATTCTCACTTTTTATTTTGGAAATTTTTTATTTTCATCTTCTTTTTAAAGTGAAATAAATTTAAATCAAGTATTATTGGTTAGAGTTTTTTTTTCTTTTATTACATCAAAATTTGAGAAGTTCTCACCCTTTTTTATTTTCAAGTAACCTCTGTATTATTTTTTTCCATATTCTTCTAAGATTTTCTTAATATGTTAATCTAGTTGATGGTATCTAATAAGGTTCACATTCCATGTTTTAATTTGGTTTTGCAATTTTGTATTTTTGTGTTTTATATTTTAGGGTATGCCACCACACATTTATATATGCTTTGATATTTTAGTATAATAATTGTGCATGCCAATATGTAACTTTATACAATTTAAGACAGTCTGGAGCAAAATCAAATATGATTGAGCCATATGTCTTTTTCCAATAGAATTGTCTCTATATTTGTTTGCCAGTATAAATGTTATCTTTGTATTTTTTATAACTTGTATATTTGTTGTGTAGGTTTGTTGTGAATGATTTTCTAATCCTGTGTAGCTCAGTAGTCATAAAATTCTTACAGTTTCAACATCCTATTTATTTATGAATCTATATTTTTTTTGTGGGAGAAACACTTTTAAATGTGAATATAATTTAAAACTATCATAACTCTATACATCTTTTAGTTATTATTATTTTTACTTGTCAAAAACAAAATTTACCACAAAATATATTTAAATATGTAGTCTTATTAATCATCTTGAAATTTTCATGCAACATTTTGCTAAAATGTTTTTATCTTGAAAGCTAAATGTTAATACATATTAACTACCAAATTTTTTTTTTTTTTTTTCTTGAGACGGAATTTTGCTCTTTTTGCCCAGGCTGGAGTGCAATGGCACGATCTTGGCTCACCGCAACCTCCGCCTCCCGGGTTCAAGCGATTCTCCTGCCTCAGCCTTTTGAGTAGCTGGGATTACAGGCATGTGCCACCACACACAGCTAATTTTGTATTTTTAGTAGAGACGAGTTTTCTCCATGTTGGTCAGGCTGGTCTCGAACTCCTGACCTCATGATCTGCCTCAGCCTCCCAAGTAGCTGGGATTACAGGCACACGCCACCACACCTGGCTAATTTTTGTAGTTTTAGTAGAGACGGGGTTTCGCAATGTTGGCCAGGCTTGTCTCGAACTCCTGACCTTAGGTGATCTGTCCGCCTTGGCCTCCCAAAGTGCCTAAAATACAGGTGTGAGCCACCATGCCTGGCCTGGCACATCAGTTTTATTTTGCAGCTTCAAAGATTTTTTTTTTTTTGTCTGTGACTTTTGAAATCGTGCTTATATATGTGTTTATTATAAATATCTTTCTGTGATCCTAGTTTGTTGAGCTTCTTTATATTTACATCATTTTTTCTTACTTTTAGGATCAGTTTTTATATTTTTACCTCCACAATTTCTGTTTTTTTGAAATCTTAAATATTTTTGTTCTCATCCTCATTTTTCTGATTCTCTGTAGTTGTCTCTGTTCCTATTTTAATCAGTATTATTCAATTTATTATCAATTCTTAAAATTAATGTATATATCTTTTTATGGTTTCTTTCTGAAAATTTTATATTTTTGGTGGAATCATATTGCCCTATTTTGTATATATTATAATCTTTGATTGAGATGTGGACATCAAAAAAAGCTACCTGTCAAAGTCTTTATAATGTAGTTTTGTCCTGGCATAGTCTGAAAACAACTATCTTGTCTAATGATTAGGGGAATTTCTCCAATATGTTCTTAGGGTATGTGTTGTCTGAAATTTTGTATTTATTTTTAATTAAGAGGGTTTACTCATGTTACTTTGTAGGAGTCAGTAATCACTTGCTATGCCTGTTTCCTTTCTGTGGTACTGTGGTCTCTCTGCTGCTGTAACATTTTTCTTTGGTTTCAGCACTCAAACTGTCATTCCAAATTATGCCATGGTTTCTCTCAACACTTTATGTCATAAGAGACAGAAACCAGTGTCAGGAAAAGCCCCTAAAAGCTAGAAATAAAAATGAATGGGCTAGTATTTTACCTTTCTTTTAAAACAGAAACCAAGAGTTGGCAATTTACCTCTAAAGGCACTCTATTATAATGGGAAGCAGGAAAAGCTGTGTCGGGTAAATTTAACAGATTTCTTTTTTTTCTGTGTGGTTTTTTGCATTGTGCTCACCGAAGACACTGCACACACTTATTAATATAGACGTAATTTGATCTGTATGTTTTTGTTACATATATATGCCTATGAAAGAATTAGGGCCTGTGCAAGAGAATGGCATGAACCCTGGAGGCGGGGCTTGCAGTGAGGCGAGATCACACCACTGCACTTCAGCCTGGGCGACAGAGTGAGACTCATCTCAAAAAAATAAATAAATAAATAAATAGAAAGACTTAGGGCCTGTGGTATTTTGCAGTGCTATTTTGTTTATGTAGTTTGTGTAATTTTATAGGTAAGATTTTTAAACTATATTCATTTGAGTCCGGTCAGTGGAGTAATTTATTATTTTTAATTTTTTTTCAGCTATATGTCCTCATTTTGCTCAAGACTTTTGGCCAGAGCAGGGCATGGAAGATTCTTTTCAAAAAGTATTACTGAGAAAATATGAAAAATGTGGACATGAGAATTTACAGTTAAGAAAAAGTTGTAAAAGTGTGGATGAGTGTAAAGTGCACAGAGAAGGTTATAGTAAACTTAACCAGTGTTTCACAACTACCCGGAGCAAAGTATTTCAATGTGGTAAATATTTGAAAGTCTTTCATAAATTTTTAAATTCAAACAGACATATGATAAGTATTACAGAGAAGTCCTACAAATGTAAAGAATGTGAAAAAATCTTTCATTGGTCCTCAACCCTTACTAATCATAAGAAAATTCATACTGAAGATAAACCCTACAAATGTGAAGAATGTGGCAAAGCTTTTAAGCAACTCTCAACCCTTATTACGCATAAAATAACCTGTGCTGAAGAGAAAATCTACAAGTGTGAAGAGTGTGGCAAAACTTTTAATCAGTCCTCAAATCTGACTACACATAAGATAATTCATTCTGGACAGAAACCTTACAAGTGTGAACAATGTGGCAAAGCATTTATCTGGCTCTCAACCCTTACTGGGCATAAGAAAATTCATACTAGAGGAAAACCTTGCAAGTATGAAGAATGTGGCAAAGCATTTATTTGCTCCCCAACCCTAACTAGACGTAAGAGGATACACACTGAAGAGAAACTCTACAAATGTGAAGAATGTGGCAAAGCATTTCTATGGTCCTCAACCCTAACTAGACATAAGAGGATACACACTGGAGAGAAACCCTACAAATGTGAAGAATGTGGCAAAGCTTTTAGGCAATCCTCAACCCTTACTAAACATAAGAGGATACACACTGGAGAGAAACCCTACAAATGTGAAGAATGTGGCAAAGCTTTTAGGCAGTCCTTAACCCTTACTAAACATAAGATAATTCATAGTGGAGAGAAACACTACAAATGTAAAGAATGTGGCAAAACTTTTAAGCAATTCTCAACCCTTACTACACATAAAATAATTCATGCTGGAAAGAAATGCTACAAATGTGAAGAATGTGGCAAAGCTTTTAATCAATCCTCAAGTCTTTCTACACATAAGATAATTCATACTGGGGAGAAGTCTTACAAGTGTGAAGAATGTGGCAAAGCATTTATATGGTCCTCAACCCTAACTAGACATAAGAGGATACATACTGGAGAGAAGCCCTGCAAATGTGAAGAATGTGGCAAAGCTTTTAGCCATTCCTCAACCCTTGCTAAACATAAGAGAATTCATACTGGAGAGAAACCCTACAAATGTAAAGAATGTGGCAAAGCTTTTAGCAATTCCTCAACCCTTACTAATCATAAGATAACTCATACTGAAGAGAAACCCTACAAATGTAAAGAATGTGGCAAAGCTTTTAAGCGACTCTCAACCCTTACTAAACATAAAATAATACATGCTGGAGAGAAACTCTACAAATGTGAAGAATGTGGCAAAGCTTTTAATCGATCTTCAAATCTTACTGCACATAAGATAATTCATACTGGAGAGAAACCTTATAAGTGTGAAGAATGTGGCAAAGCATTTATCTGGTCCTCAAGCCTTACTAAACATAAAAGAATTCATACTAGAGAGAAACTCTTCAAATGTAAAGAATGTGACAAAGCATTTATATGGTCTTCAACCCTAACTAGACATAAAAGGATACACACTGGAGAGAAGCCCTACAAATGTGAAGAATGTGGCAAAGCTTTTAACCATTCCTCAACCCTTACTAAACATAAGACAATTCATACTGGAGAGAAACCCTACAAATGTAAAGAATGTGGCAAACCTTTTAAGATTCCCTCAACCCTTGCTAAACATAAAATAATATATGCTGGAGAGAAACTCTACAAATGTGAAGAATGTGGCAAAGCTTTAAATCAATCTTCTAATCTTACTACACATAAGGTAATTAATACTAAAGAGAAACCTAACAAGAGTGAAGAATGTGGCAAAGCATTTGTCTGGTCCTCAACCCTTACTGAACATAAGAGAATTCATACCAGAGAGAAACCCTACAAATGTGAAGAATGTGGCAAAGCATTTAGCCAACCCTCACACCTCACTACACATAAGAGGATGCACACTGGAGAGAAACCCTACAAATGTGAAGAATGTGGCAAAGCTTTTAGCCAATCCTCAACCCTTACTACACATAAGATAATTCATACTGGAGAGAAACCCTACAAATGTGAAGAATGTGGCAAAGCTTTTAGGAAATCTTCAACTCTTACTGAACATAAGATAATTCATACTGGAGAGAAGCCCTACAAATGTGAAGAATGTGGCAAAGCCTTTAGCCAATCCTCAACCCTAACTAGACATAAGAGGATGCACACTGGGGAGAAACCCTACAAATGTGAAGAATGTGGCAAAGCTTTTAATCGATCCTCAAAGCTTACTACACATAAGATAATTCATACTGGAGAGAAACCTTACAAGTGTGAAGAATGTGGCAAAGCATTTATATCATCCTCAACCCTTACTGGACATAAGAGAATTCATACTAGAGAGAAACCCTACAAATGTGAAGAATGTGGCAAAGCATTTAGCCAATCCTCAACCCTAACTAGACATAAGAGGATGCACACTGGAGAGAAACCCTACAAATGTGAAGAATGTGGCAAAGCCTTTAAAGAGTCCTCAGCTCTTACTAAACATAAGATAATTCACACTGGAGAGAAACCCTACAAATGTGAAAAATGTGGCAAAGCCTTTAACCAGTCTTCAATCCTTACTAACCATAAGAAAATTCATACTAGAGAGAAACCCTACACATGTAAAGAATGTGGGAAATCTTTTAACCGGTCCTCAACCTTTACTAAACATAAGGTAATTCATACTGGAGTAAAACTCTACAAATGTGAAGAATGTGGCAAATCCTTTTTCTGGTCCTCAGCCCTAATCAGACATAAGAAAATTCATACTGGACAGCAACCCTACAAACAGGAAAAATTTGGCAAAACCTTTAACCAGTTTTCACACCTTACTACAGATAAGATAACTCGTATTGGAGAGAAATCTTAGAAGTGTGAATAATGTGGTAAAAGTCTATAAAAAGTCCTGAATTCTTAACAGACGTAAGATTATTCATACTGGAGAGAAACTCTACAAACCTGAAAGATGTGCCAGTGCTTTTGACAACTCAAACTTTCCTAAACATCAAGAAAATCATACTGCTGAGAAATCCTAGAAATGTGAAGAATACGACAAAGCATCTAAATGATTGTCACACTTGATTGTAGGTAAGATAATTCATACTGGAGAAAACTACCAGTGTGAACAATGTGGCCAAACTTTGAACCAATGCTCACACCTTAATGAACAGGAAAGCATTTATATTTGAGAAAAAGTGTACAAATATAGACAAAGTAAAAATGCCATTAATACCTGCTCACATCTTACTCAAAATCAGAGCGTTCATACTAAATAAAAACATTAGAAGTGTAATTACTGTCAAAAGATCGATCAGAAAATATGTCTTTAAAGTAAGAAGAGTATTTTGAAAAAGCATTACAAATATGAAGAGGCATTATTTATGACCTTTTCTATGGAAAGGTAAGGACCATTAAAATGTAAGATGCATGATGAAAACTTAAGTAGAGAGGAGCTTTGTGGTTAACTTGTAATATTGAGTGACGCATGAGGTAGGTGTTCAGATTAGTATTGTTCTGCATTATTATGAAAGGAAAACATTCTTAATTTTAGTTAAAATTTAGTATGATTGTATTTTTATGAAATATTGCAGTATATTTTAAAATTATAAATTACATGTGAACTTAACTTTTCAACTCAACATTTTTAACATGTTAAATACTATAGTGAATTCAATGAAGTGTTATTATGCCTCTAACTTTAACCTATTCCACCTTACTCAAGGGTGTAAGTAAAAGATGGTAAAAATATACTGTTTGGTAAGATAAATGGATTGACATCTCTTGTAATCTTTTTTGCCAGTGACTTAATTGCCATTAAGTTAAAGAATATTGTTCCTTTAGGTTAAATTTTTATTTTTATTTTCACATTTAAATGTATTCTTAATTTTTGTGGATACCTAATATGTGTACATATTTATGCCCTATATGGTATATTTTGATACAGGCATACAATATATAACCATTACATTAGACTAAATGCAGTCTCCATTACCTCTAGCATTTATTCTTTGTATTACAAACAATTCAATTCTACAGTTTTAGTTATTTTTAAATGTACAATTCAATTATTATTGACTACAGGATTATTTTTATGGTCATAATAAAAATTATATACAAACATAAGTAAAATACATACATTTCTGAGTCCCAAATAAATCTTTAAAAATTTTTTAATATATTTTTCTTTGAACATGTGGCCTCTGCCTGCAAGAACATATGGACTGTTAGTATTGATTTACATTGAGTTAAAAATACACATCTATTATACACACCTAAAGATGAATCTTAGGTGTAAATAAATTCTGGAGTGTGTTTGAGTATAAGTTTGAAACTATAGGAGAAAAAAAGCAATACTGGAACAAAATAAATCATTTTAAGAAGGTGTCTAATTTACTAGAAAACAAAAATTCTCAAAAATGCTGAAAGCAAATTTATGCTGTCTGCTTTGTATTGAATTTATTACTGTACAATCTTTTGGTTCAGAATCTCCCCATGCAAATTCTCTGTTTTAACTTGACCGGCACTCATGATGAACCCTAATTTTCTTTTTTGTTTAATAGGTTTTTTTTTTTAATTTTTGTTTTTGTTGTTTGTTTGTTTGTTTTTGAGACAGAGTCTTAATCCATCTCCCAGGCTAGAGTGCAATGGTGCAGTCTGGGCTCACTGCAACCTCTGCCTTTCAGGTTCAAGCAATTCCCCTGCCTCAGCCTCCTGAGTAGCTGAGATTACAGGCACGTGCCACCATGCCCGGCTAATTTTTGTATTTTTAGTAGAAACGGGGTTTCACCATTTTGGTCAGGCTGGTCTCAAATTCCTCACCTCATGATCAACCCGTCTCAGCCTCCCAAAGTGCTGGGATTACAGGCGTGAGCCACCTTGCCTGGGCTAATTTTTGTATTTTTAGTAGAGACAAGGTTTCACCATGTTGGTTAAACTGGTCTCCAAAGCGTGACCTCAGGTGATCACTCACTTCGGTTTCCCAAAGTGCTGGGATTACAGGCATGAGGTACCAGGCCTGGCCTGTGTAATAGTTTATGAAGAATTCATTATGTGAGCCTGTCTGTAATTATAAGAATTTTTTTTTAATTTTATTGTTCCATAAGTTACTTATATACAGGTGGTATTTGGTTAGTTGAGTAAGTTCTTTAGTGGTGATTTGTGAGATCCTGGTGCACCCAAGCAGTATACACTGCACCATATATGTTGTATTTTATCCCTTCCCCTTTCACTCTTCCCCCCAAGTACCCAAAGTCCATTGTATTATTCTTATGCCTTTGCATCCTCATAGCATACCTCCCACATATCAGTGAGAACATATGATATTTGTTTTACCATTAGAATAATAGTCTCCAGTCTTATCCACGACATTGCAAATGCTGTTAATTCATTCCTTTTTATTGTTGAGTAGTATTCCAACATATATATAGATATAAAATTATAATTCCAACATATATATGTGTGTACGTGTGTATATATATACACACACATTATACCTACTATATATATATATATATATGTACACACGCATACACATACACAGACACATATGTATGTATCTCACAGATTCTTTACCCACCCGTTAATTCATGGGCGTTTCAGTTGGTTCCATGATTTTACAGTTGTGAATTGTGCTGCTAGAAACACGCATGTGCAAGTACCTTTTTCAAATAATGACTTCTTTTTCTCTGGGTAGATACTCAGTAGTGGGATTGCTGGATCAAATGGTAGTTCTACTTTTAGTTGTTTACAGAATCTCCACACTGTTTTCCATATGTATTTATATGTTTTCTATAGTGGCTGTACTAGTTTACATTCCCACCAGCAGCATGGATGTGTTCTCTGATTGCCACATCCACGCCAACATCTACAGTTGTTTGATCTTTTGACTGTGGCTATTCTTGCAGGAATAAGGTGGTATTGCATTGTGGATTTGATTTGCATTTCTTTGATCATTAGTGATGTTAACCACTTTTTATATGTTTGTTGGCCATCTTCTTTTGAGGATTTTCTATTCATGTCCTTACCCCACTTTTTGATGGGGTTGTTTTTATTCTCTTTTTTCCTTACTGATTTGTTTGAGTTTGTTTTAGATTCTGGATATTAATCTTTTGTCAGAGGTATAATTGAGTTTGTTGTAGATTCTGGATATTAATCCATTGTCAGGTGTATAGATTGTGCAGATTTTCTCCCACTGTGTGAGTTGTGTTTACTCTGCTGACTGTTCCTTTTGCCATGCAAAAAGCTCTTTAGTTTAATTAGGTCTCAGCTATTTATCTTTGTTTTTATTGCATTTCCTTTTTGGTTTTTGGTAATGAAATTTTTGCCTAGCCAATGCCTAGAAAGGTTTTTCCGATTTTATCTTCCAGAATTTTTATAGTTTCTGGTCTTAGGTTTAAGTCCTTAATCCATCTTGAGTTTATTCTTTTATAAGGTGAGAGATGAGGATCCAGTTTCATTCTCCTACATGTGGCTAGCCAGTTATCCCAGAACCATTTGTTGAAAGGGTGTACTTTCCCCACTTTTATGTTTTTGTTTGCTTTTTTGAAAATCACTTGGCTGTAATTATTTGGGTTTATTTCTGGGTTCTCTGTTCCATTGGTCTATGTGCCAATTTTTATACCAGTACCATGCTCTTTTGGTTACTATGGCCTATATAGTTTGTAATCAGGTAGTGTGGTGCCTCCAGATTTGTTCTTTTTGCTTAGTCTTGCTTTGGCTATGCAGGCTCTTTTTTGGTTCTATATGAATTTTGGTTCTATATGAATTTTAGTATTGTTTTTTCTAACTCTGTCAAGAATGATGGTGGTATTTTGACGGGGATTGTGTTGAATTTATAGATTGCTTTTGGCAGTATGGTCATTTTCACAAATTATTCTACCCATGCTTGAGCATGGGGTGTGTTTCCATTTGTTCGTGTTGTCTATGATTTCTTTCAGCAGTGTTTTGTAATTTTCCTTTTACAGGTCTTTCGACTTCTTCATCAGGTATATTCATTTAATTTTTTTATGCTATTGTAAAAGAGGTTGAGTTCTTGATTTAATTCTCTGTTTGGTTGCTGTTGGTGAATAGAAGAGCTACTGAGTTGTGTACATTAATCTTGTATCCAGAAACTTTGCTGAATTGTTTTATCAGTTCTAGGAGCTTTCTGGAAGAGTCCTTACGGTTTTCAAGGTAAATGATCATATCATCAGCAAATGGACAGTTTGACTTCCTGTTTACTGATTTGGATGCCCTTTATTTCTTCCTCTTGTCTGATGGCTCTGACTAGGACTTCCATGGCTCTGTTGAAGAAGAGTGGTGAGAGTGGACATCCTTGTCTTGTTCCCATTGTCAAAGGAAATGGTTTCAACTTTTTTCTATTCAGTATTATGTTGGCTGTGGGTTTGTCATAGATAGCTTTTATTTTTACATTAAGCTGTGTCCCTGGTATGCCAACTTGACTGAGAGGTTTAATCATAAAGTGATGCTAAATTTTGTCAAATTGTTTTTCTGCGTCTATTCAAATGAGCATGTGGTTTTTGTTTTCAATTCTATTTATATGGTATATCACATTTGTTGACTTGTGCGTGTTAAACCATCCCTGCATACCTGGTATGAAATCAGCATGATCATGATGGATTATCTTTTTGACATGTTGTTGGATATGGTTAGCTAGTGTTTTGTTAAGAATATTAGCATCAATATTTATCAAGGATATTGGTCTGTAGTGTTCTTTTTTGGTTGTATCTTTTCCTGGTTTTGGTATTAGGGTGATGCTGACCTCATAGAATGAATTAGGGAGGGGTCCTCCTTTCTCTATCTTGTGGAATAGTGTCAAGAGGATTGGTACTAATTTGAATATCTGGTAGAATTCTGCTGTGAATCCATCTGGTCCTGGACTTTTTTTATTGGTAATTTTTAAATTAACCACTTTAATCTCACTGCTTGTTATTGGTCTGTTCAGGGTGTCTAATGCTTCCTGATTTAAGCTAGCAGGGTTGTATTTTTCCAGGAATTTTTTCATCTCTTCTAGGTTTTCTAGTTTATGTGTGTAAACGTGTTCATAGTAGCCTTGAATGATTTTTTTGTATTTCAGTGGTGTCAGTTATAATGTCTCCTGTTTCATTTCTCAGTGAGGTTATTTGGATTTTCTCTCTTTTCTTGGTTAATCTTGCTAATGGTCTATCAATTTTATTGATCTTTTCAAATAAGCAGCTTTTTGTTTCATTTGCCTTTTGTATTTTTTTGTTTCAATTTTATTTTGTTCTGTTCTGATCTTGGTTATTTTCTTTTTTTCTGTTGGGTTTGGGTTTGGTTTGTTCTTGTTTCTCTAGTTCCTTGAGGTGTGACCTCAGATGGTCCGTTTTTGCTTTCAGACTTTTTTATGTAGGCATTTAGGGCTATGAATTTTCGTCTTAGCAT